TATAATACTAAGAGACTTCAACGCCCACTCCACCAGATGGGGCTACAAGGATACAAACATAACTGGAAAGGAAATCGAAGACATGCTAAACAGCAACATTCTGGAACTTATTTACAGCAATGAGGATCCGGCTACATATTTGCTCTACAATGGAACCAGAACAACTCCTGATTTACTCTTGGCTTCAAGCGACATCAGTGAGCATACACACCGCAAAATAATTGAAGATCCTGGTTCTGGTCACAAACCAATCATTGCTTGTATTACCATTGGCAGCAAAAGCATGCCAAGGAAAGTGCCAACTAAGCTATCATGGAACTTCAAGAAGGCTGACTGGTATAGATTCACAAACCTTTTGGAGAATGAACTTCACACAAGTCCCCTCAACTTCAACCAACATCCTGATAAACTTTGCACTGATATCACGAATATTATGATCAGATGTGCAAAGAAAACTATTCCCCGAGGCAAAACAAAACACTATCGAGTGTTTTGGTCTAAACACCTTGAGGAACTGAAAAGAAAGAGGGACGCCCTTCGCAACACTGCTGATCANACAGAAAGCCATAGAACTGAAGAAAGCATTACAAATAGATGACAAACCAAAAAGCCTCTCTCTTCCCATGAACCCATTACCAGACATTGATGTAGTTGACACACTTGCTAAGAAGGGGACAACGATCTTGCAATGCATGGACCGGCCGATGTCTTTCCACACAATGAAGGCCTTAATCAGGAGAGAATTCCAGACCTCAAGGTGCAACGAAATTAAAGCTCGAACAAAGGAGAAACAGTGGACAGTGGCAATCTCCGACATACCCGACTGGCCAAGAATCGAAGCCGTTGCTGAGTTTAGACTACGTACCGGACACGATTGCTTGGCAAAACACCTTCACAGATTGGGAGTATACACTCAACCCACATGCCCTCTATGTAACCTACAGGAGGAAATGGAGAAGACCCACCTGATTCGGTGTTCAGCCCTAAAGACAACGACGGAAAGCCAAAAATACTGGGAAGCAAGAAGACAGTTAATGAATTGCTATTAATTAACTGCTATAAATGTACCCCCCCCCCTTCTTGGGGGAAGCTGAAGTCAAAGATTAAGGGCTAATGATAAATATCATAAAGCCTGCCATTTGAAATAAATAAATATTAGCCCTTTAGTTGACTTCAGGCTTCACAGAGGGGAGGAGGAACGTCAAATTGAAAATAGTCGAGAGGGAGGGAACAGAAGAGTGTTTCAAAGATGTAAAGGAGGCAAACACAAAGGTAGAAAAAAGATGAGGTGAGTACCGTGAAGTAGTCGAATATGTCATAGGGTGAGGTGATGGTAGTTTGAAGTGAGAAGTCAACTGCCTATTAATAGACTTTTTGCCGTATGAGCTACGTTGCCCAGGGTGCACCACGTGGAGGTAAGTCTATCGTATTCTTAAGAATAATTGTTTAGAAAACCAGCAAGGGTTGAAAGTTGCCCAGGGTGCACCACGTGGAGGTAAGTCTATCGCACGCTGTCCAGGGTGCACCACGTGGAGGTAAGTCTATCGCACACACCCCTCCGCTTCCAAATAAGATGTTGATAGTGAAGGCATATTTCCAGGGTGCACCACGTGGAGGTAAGTCTATCGCACACCCACTTGGCTCTCCCCTCAAATTTCAACCCTACACGGATGGGCGCAGACAAAATATAAAGTCCTTAAATTAAAATCTGTAAGGAATATTTTTCTGAAAGACCACAACAGTGCTGTGATGAGGCAGTGCAAATCGCATCAGTTCATAATTAGTATTTATGATGTATTGATGACATACGAGAAACCCCCAATGAGTCACCAATACTCTGGATTATGCTAATCAGAACGAGATTGGTGGAGCAATGAGCGATGAGCCACTACAGGCTCAAAATGCTGTCACTTAATTTCGCATGGATGCGCCCTCATGCGCCTGACGCTTTGGGTGGAAAAGAAGTTTGAATCAAATTTGAAAGAGGAGAGTAAAAATAGACTGGCATGCCAAATTTTGATTGACACAAAAACGCTCATAATGCACTAGCTTATGGTTACCATAAAATAGGCACACAGCCTCTGCCAAGACCGGGAGGTTAGGGTTAGGGCAGTTGACGCTTTCAGTGCAGTAATAAGGAAAATTTGTTTTTTATTTGAAATTTTTGAAGCATTTTGTGCGATGCTCCATAAAACTTCCCAGTGCCTTAACGCACACACACACACACCTGGTGTGAAGACTATGTCGACACACATCATATTTATTCCTAAAGGACTTTAGTTATTAAGCTGGGGTGTGCAATAGACTTACCTCCATGTGGTTCACCCTGGGCAACGTATACTCATACGGCAAAAAAGTCAATATACCGGCAGTTGGCTTCTGACTTCTAAC